TTGGCGTTGCGGGACCAACCCGGCAGCACTCCAGCTGCTCTGCCCCAGGCGTCCCCAAGAGAAGCTGGAGTGCTGCTGGGTTGGTGCCGTAGCGCCGCCCCTCGGCGCTGCGGGACCAACCCATCAGCACCCCAGCTGCTGTATTGCAGGCATCCCCAATTCAGCTGCTGCTGAAACTCACCAGCAGCAGCTGAATCAGGGACGCCTGGAGCAGAGCCGGACTATCGTAAGGGGGGGGCTATGAAGGGTCTGGGGTGGCATCCCCTCCTACCCCACTCCAGACCCCTCATAGCCCCCCCTTCTGATAGTCCGGCATATCTGATAATCCGGCACCCCCTGGGTCCTAAAGGTGCCAGATTATCGGAAGTTTACTGTAGTTTACTTATAAAAGTTTCCATCTGACTGACCCAAATTCAGCTACAACTGGCTACAAAACATTGTTACCTGGGACTGTGCTGCAAATAGGTGGTGATAATGTTGATCTGTAGTTTAGCCTCGCAACCAATTTAGATACTTGACAAGAAAATAAATATGATCAACAGTTGAGCTGCAAAAGTAATGTTTTTCCTTTAACTTAATGGAAATAAGTTAAATATCTCAGTTGCTTCAAAATTCTCTGTCTTCCTTTTGGGTTAAAAGAACTGCTAAATTATTCTTGCCAAGTACAGAGTAATTTATGTATTCTATAACATAAATTTGTTCTGAGTAGGTCATTGGTATTGCTGTTGTTCTGATAAAATGTCATTCAATTTCAAGAAAAACATGATTTTTAAAAATGTTTCTGGAGACATATTGTCAATTCTAAAAGTTCTGAAATCATAAGACTATGGACACAGGGAACCAGTAATTTAATTCTTTCAGAACAGTGTCATTTTACTGATCTTAACTAGCTTTTAACTTTAAGAGAATATTTGCGCAGTGAGTAAATATAATGCATTCAACTGGAACTTCTTAAGTATTAGAAAAAAGAAAACAATAACATCTACTTAAGATTTTAAAGTCCACAGGACAAGGGCATATCATTGTCTGTAATGTACCATCCATACTTACGGCACTGTAAATATAAAATCTAGATTAATAACTGTAGGCAGGTAGACAGATGTTCTAGAGTCAACAATGCTTCACTCAATATTTTGAAAAGTAGCCTGGATACTTAACATGAATACAACCAATCCTGTTCTTTCTTTGTAAGCCTGATATTAAAGCTAAGTATTTGCACATTATAATGCTTAATACAAAGAGGTGCAGACAACTGGTGGGATTAGCTTTATATCAGGTCAAAGCACCACATAAAAAGCAGTACTATAATTTATGGAAAACATTTTAATGTTCACCAATTTCTACCAAAATTACAATTTGAAAACAAAGGAATCCATGAACCTACCCAGCGTTGGTTAGATTATTTTAACTACTGGCTAGTGCCCTCCTATGTAACTCAAAACACCCATACAGAAGGCAAGATGCTGGTTTCTATTCTTATTCCTCATCTATTTTACCACTTTAATCACACAGACCACTGCTTTAAACCAAATTCTGCAGGAAACTACAATTAACAGATGTGCAAATGGGCTACTTTTAATTCGTATTTCTGAAACAGACCTAGCAGAGCGAGGAAGGGAAGAGAACCTAATGTGTAGAACCATAAGTAAGGATCTCTAACTCCTCGTCTCATTGTAGTTCTTCCCACCAAGCAGAGCAAATGGTCTGGCCATATGTAAACTCTAAACTCCTTGTACAAATACTTCTTGTTAGACAAGTGCTTAATTTGTTATGAAAGAGCTTTAAGGGCTCAAGCAATTTATTTTTACAGTAAAACTCCATTGGTCCAGCATCCAATGGTCCAGCACCATCAGGAACCCAGAAGTGCTCCGGGTGCCGGACAATTGGAGCTGCTCTGCAATTTGCTTCCTCAATTCAGCCGCTGCTGAAACTGACCAGCGGCTGACCAGAATCAGCTGCTGGTCAGTTTCAGCAACAGCTGAATTGGGGATGCCGGGGGCAGAGCAGCTGGAGTACTGCCGGGTTGGTCCCGCAGCCCGCAGGAACAGCGCTAAGGGACCAACCTGGCAGCACCCCAGCTGCTCCTGCCCCAGGCGTCCTCGATTCCCCCGCTGCTGAAACTGACCAGCGGCTGACCAGAATCAGCTGCTGGTCAGTTTCAGCAACAGCTGAATTGGGGATGCCGGGGGCAGAGCAGCTGGGGTGCTGCAGGGTTGGTCCCGTAGTGCCTGCCCCTCAGCGCTGCGGGACCAACCCGGCAGCACCCCAGCTGCTCCATCCCCAACCTCCCCAAGAGCAGCTGGGGTGCTGCCAGGTTGGTCCCTTAGCGCTGTTCCTGCGGGCTGCGGGACCAACCCAGCAGCACCCCAGCTGCTCCATCCCCAACCTCCCCAAGAGCAGCTGGGGTGCTGCCGGGTTGGTCTCGCAGTGCCAAGGGGCGGCGCTACCCGACCAACCCGGCAGTACTCCAGCTGCTCTGCCCCAGGCGTCCTCGATTCACCCGCTGCTGAAACTGACCAGCAGCCGCCGAATCGGGGATGCCTGGGGCAGAGCTGGACTATCGGAAGGGGGGGTTATGAGGGGTCTGGGGTGGCACCCCCTCCAC